AAATAAATAAATAAATAAATAAATAAATAAATAAATAAATAAATAAATAAATAAAACATAACTCTTCCAAGCTGTGGAACAAAGTAATCTCAAGATTACTGATAAAAGCAACGGTCACTGTCTGTGGCAGTACTGTATGTATTTCAGCACAGTTGAGCCAGGGCCCCAATCCCCATGACCAAAAATACATTCAGATTGTCTGCCTGGATAGACCACGCCAGGAATTAAGGCTGAGTCAAGCTTGGTTTTGATTTCTAGCAGACGTCTCTCACTCTGGCCATCAGCAACAGAGTCACCACTCAACCTCACAAAATCAGATTTATTCTCCTGCTTCTCTGACTGGCATTCAGCCAGTCAAGAATAAATGAGTAGGAGATATCGGACAATGCATCGTAAATTTTTTTTTTTTGCTCTAGGGTATGAAAGAGTGTTAATTATGCCACTTAAGATAAAAATGGAGAATCTCATTGTCACCAGAGGACATTGACAAACATCCCTATTCTCTACGTGTAAGCAGGGCCTATGTCTCCTTTCATGGAGACAGGATACCTATCAAGAAAGAAACGGACAAAGCTTTGCAGGAAACACTCGTGCAACGTCTAAATTTAAGAAACAAAACTATCCACAGATGTTGTGCATGTAAGAACAGAGCTGTCAAAAATCTCCCAAAGCCCCTGCAGGATTTTTTTTTTAATTTTCAAAATCTTTTTTAGTCCTGCAATGCCCCCCTTTCACTCAGTCAAAGTGGGCACTACCTGAAGTCAGGTGTGTTATTTTGGCACCTGAAGTAGGAAATCAAATAAGTATCCCTTGTAAAAAAACAAAACAGAAGAAAGCGAAACAAAAACAAATAATAACCAAGTAAATACTGCCATTTTATGACACTCAAATGTCATAAGCAGCTATTTCATTCTGCCCAATAGCAGGGTTGGTCCTGGATTCCCCATCCATTTCCCCCCCTGCTCTCACGGAGGCAAACTTGTTCACCCAGAGGTTGAATACCATCAGGTCCAACGTTCACTGTTAAAAATAAAAAGTTGGACCTGCCAGTGTTGACGGAGGTGGAATGCTCCAAAAGCCCAGGGTTGATGCTGGCACTGCTAAATCATACCAGCATTTTCTAAAGAACCGAATATTATTGAGGAAACAGAGTCTGCAACAGAGTTTATCATATGACCAGTCCAAACAGTCTGGATCAAGGTCCCGTGTGTTCCAGCGATTGATTGATTGATTGATTGATTGATTGATTGATTGATTGATTGATTGATTGATTGATTGATTGATTGATTGATTGATTGACTGATTGATTGACTGATTGATTGACTGATTGATT